AGTGATTACCAGCCATGCAGACCCTACAGCCCGAGTTGAGTGCAGAGAACCGACAGCATCTCTCAAGATGACTCGAACAATAGGAATGGTTTCGCGATTCTAGATCGGGCAGCAGACCGAGTTGAGAGCTTTGGATTCAACAGACAACCGCCACTGATGATTCTGAATCAGAATCTGTACGTATCAGCTCTGTAGCTGTCCTGTAGCTCGAGTTAAGTACAGAAAACCGAGAGCGTCTGTCATGATGACTCGAATAATACGAATAGGTTTGCAAACCTAGCTCGGCTAGCAGACCGAGTTCAGACCTCTGGGTTCAACAGGCGAACGCGCCTGATCATTCTGAATCGATTAGCTGTGCCTACCAGCTCTGTAGCTGTCCTAAAGCTCGAGTCATCTTGAGTAAACCGTCATCGCGTGACAAGATGACCCGAAATAGCCGATCCCGCGCGTGTGCTTTTTGGCAGTAAAAGGTACCCGATCGAGCTGAGATTAAGATGGCGAGCGGGAATAACATCGAATATCACGGGAAAAAATACTAGAGCTCTAACGAATGGTTTAATTTCGAGAACAAAATTTTCAACCGACCAAAAGTCACCAAAAGGTCCGTCGAGATTTTTCTTGCCAACTAGCTCTCCAGCGCCCCGGAACTGGCACCGGCGGTGAACCGTCAACCTGGTCACCGCCGGGAACCTCGTAGAGCTCCTCACAGAGAGTGCAGATAATCGACACAGAGTGCAAAAATAAAGATTTTTCGGAAATCTTCATTTTTGATTTTTTCGATGCTCATATTTGCTCAGTTCCCGGAAGTCAACTCATGCAAAACTGCATCGAGAGAGCTGAGCTGCTGTCAGGAAGGAGTTCATATGCCAATGCGACGCGCAAAAATCTGATCTCTCAAAATAAATTGTCAAGTATCTTATAAATTTTTGCAAAACCGACCAAAAGTCACCAATTTGTCCTTTCTCGCCGGATGGGCCAATGGGCGCCGGCGGTAAACCGTCAACCTTCCTTACCGCCGGGGGACTCGTAGAGCTTCCTGAGCATATATAATGTCGAGAACGAATAGTTTTTCATCCTAAACGATTTCAGACCTCTCGATGCAACAGCCAAACGCCCCTCATGCTTCTGGATCGTTTTCTGTGCGCACGAGCTCCGTAGCTCTCCTACAGCCCGAGCTACGTGCGAAAATCGACAGCACCTCTCAAAATCACTCGAACAATACAAATGGTTTCGCGAATCTAGCTCGAGTATCAGACCGAGTTCAGACATCTGAATGCAACAGGCGGACGCGCCTGATGTCTCCGAATTGATCCCTGTGATTACCAGCCCTGCAGCCCCCTTACAGCCCGAGTTAAGTGCAGAGAATCGACAGCACCTCTGAAGATGACTCGAACAATACGAGCTTCGCGGACCTAGATCGGGCAGCAGGGCGAGTTCAGGGCTCTGAATGCGACAGCTGGAAGCGACTGATGTCTCCGGATCGATTCCAGTGATTACCAACCCTGCAGCCCCCTTACAGCTCGAGTTAAATGCAGAAAACGGACAGTAACTCGTAGAGCTTCCCTTAGCTAGTTGCTGGAAGCTTAAGAGTATTTCCGGCGCGCTGGAGAGCTAGTTGGCAAGAGAAATCTCGACGGATCTTTTTCTGACTTTTGGGGGAGGGGCGTGAGGAGGGAGCACGGGAGAGGAAGGAGGGACGATGGGGAGGCTGATGGGGGATAGAGGGAGGAGATTGGAAGAGGAGAAGGAGGAGGAGGAGGAGGAGGAGGAGGAAGAGAATGAGGAGGAGGAGGGAGGAGGAGGAGGAGAGCGAGGAGGAGGAGGACGAGGAGGAGGACGAGGAGGAGGAGGAGGAGGAGGAGGAGAGCGAGGATGAAGCAGGATGAGGAAGCAGGAGGAGGAAGACGGAGGAGGACGAGGAGGGCGAGAAGGGTGAGGAGTAGGAAAGGAAGTTTTGGGATGGTTCACCTGCCTCCCGCTCGGTATCAGGCTGACAGAGGAGCATGATGAGGACGACGAGGAAGAGGAGAAGCAGGAGAAGGAGAGGCAAGAAGAACGAGGAGCAGGAGCAAGGATCAGGAGGATGATGAGGATGAGGATGGGGATGAGAAGTGTTGGGGGAATGACGGGAATAGAGTTACGGATGGGGAGACCCTCCTCCTCCTCCTCCTCCTCCTCCTCCTCCTCCTCCCTCGCCTCCTCAATCCCTCTCCCTTAGAATTCCGATGGCCCTATGGACCTAAGGCGTGCGAAGAGCTCCAGTAAGAGATTCAATCAGCTTGTAGGTTGATAGTTCGCGCGCGCGGAGGCGCACCCCTGGGCGGCGCGCACACGACAGCAGGGGGAGGAGAGAAGACTTATCAGAAGCACACCTGCTTCTTAGAAGGCGCTGGCCCTACCTCTGTGTACAATGCCCGCGCCTTCTAAGAAGCAGGGGTGCTTCCAGGAAGCCTTCCCCCCTCCCCTACCCCCCTCTGCGCGAGGCTGAGGAGACACACCTGGGGGTCCCCGAACCAGAACTTCTCCTCGGGAACATCCCGGCAAACTCCTGGGCGCGGCCCTCAGGACCCCCCCAAAACACCCCTTAAGAGTAAGTCGGGCCTGTCCCCCTACAGGGGGATCTTCGACGAACAATTAATCAACAAATGCTCCAAAATTGTAAAAAAATACTGAAAATAGTCCTCAAACTATTTTTTGACTATTTTTGAGCATTCCCCTTGTAGAGGGACAGGCCCGACTTAACCTTAGGATCGCCTGCAGGAACCTCCAAGGTCCAGCAGCGAGGACCAGGGACCGACGGGCCAGGCCCCAAACAGACATCCCCCCCGATAGGGGCAAAAGACATGCTTTTCAATGCAGTCGGCATCCTCACCTGTCAGCTTCCTGTGTCGGGCCGGGCGAAAGGGGGGGATAGCAAAGGGGGGGTTTGAGAATCAGCTCACGTAGCTGATTGTCCCAGCGCCTCCCGGCGCCGGGAGGCGCCCATGTATCGAGGAATGGGCCCGACGGCGGGGCCGGAACCAGCTCCATGCAGCAGATTTCGTAACCCCCCCTTTCCCAATCCCCCCCTCTCGTCCGGCCCGACTGTGGGCCTCTCAGGTCAGGCCTCCCACAAGAGAGACACACAGGCGGAGCGTCTCGCAGGCTCTGCCCGGCACTCGGATGTCCACGAGCTCGGTCAGCGGCGTGGGGAAGTCCAGGTTGAACTCTACCAGCGTGGCGCCGCGCCGCTTCGCGACCGAAGGCAGCGACGCGGCCGGGTACACCACCGAGGACGTCCCCACGATGAGCACGACGTCGCCCCGCCGTAGGGAACGGATGCTGTCTTCGGCCGCGTCCCACTGGTCCTCTGGCAACCCCTCCGTGAACAGCGTCACGTCTGGGCAGAGAGGAGCAAGAAGCGGCATGAGCAGAAACTGTCGGAGGACCGAGAGGATTTCTTGGATCTGCGCTGGACCCCCCTCCCTGGAGCGAGGGGCGTGCCAGGGACGGCGCTGGAGGCGCCGAGAAGGGGGTCTAGCGCCGATCCGGGAACCCAGAGCCCCGACGTCGTGATTGTTTCGCAACGCCGACCCCCGGAGGTCTGCACCCCTTGCCCGGGACCAGTTCTTCACCCCGAGCCGTGTTTTGACGCTCCCGGGAGCCAGGGCTCAGGGAACGAAGAATGACAGAAACATAAAAACTCGGAGGTGCGCGCTCCGCGCGCCAGGGAGGGGGATCCAGAGCCGATCCGAGAGATCCGCGCGGACCTCCGAGATGTTATGTTATCATTCGTCGTTCCGCGAAGGGCCCCCAGAGGCAGACAATAGCGAGGGGGAGGGCCTCGGCGCATCGGCGCGAACTTGTCCGCAGTTCTGAGTCCTAAGGGGGGAGGAGGAGGAGGAGGAGGAGGAGGAGGAGGAGGAGGAGGAGGAGAGAGGAGCAGGAGGAGGAGGAGGAGGAGGAGGACAGGAGGAGGAGGACGACGACGAGGAGTAGGAGGAAGGAGGAGGAGGGAGGAGGAGGAGCAGGAGGAGGAGGAGGAGGAGGAGGAGGAGGAGGAAGAGGTCTGGGAAGTCCGCGCCGACCGCCGATAAAGCTCCTCCGATAAAGCTCCTGCTCCTGCCGCCTTTTCCTCCCCCGCTGGGCGGACGCGGCCGCCGCAGCCCGCCTCGCGGCAGGCCGGCTGGCGCTCGGGGTCCAGCGGCAGGGCCGGCTCGGCCCGCGCGCCGCAGCTGCCGCAGCAGAAGCGGCGGACGGACCCGTGCACCTCGCAGACCCCCTCGCATCGGTGAGCTTTTTTTTTCCGTCGTTTCGACATGGGGCGGAAGGGAGGGGGGTCTGGCTCCGGACCTCTGCTTAGTGCGACTGCTTGCAGCAGTGCGTCCTATGAAGGAGGCTCCACCTGCCTGAAACAGACGCCACAGACAGCCAAGTTCTACTCCATGGGTCGGTGAGGGGGAGGGGGGGGAAGGGGCGGAGGGGGGGCCCCCTCGGGCTGCGAAAAACAAATCGCGACGGGGGGCTTTTCCTTGTCTTCTGCCTCTGGGGGCCCCGACTTGGCTCGCCGCGGTGGTTGCTAAGGCGATGGGGGGGGCTAGCAGTGGAAGCCACGGTGGGTAAAATCTGGCCTAACCCACCTTATCAGTGGGTTACCGGTGCCCTGTGTGGTTTAGGATGAGGGGACAACTCCGCTAAGTGGGCTCCGCCTACTTAGCCCAGATCTGTACGCCCTTAAGCAACTTAGGGCACGTGCAACCCACTTCTAAGCTGTGTCAGGCTGGATAGTACCCACCCTCGCATCAATTTCTAACCCCATATCCCCTTTGCAACCACCGCGGCGATCCAAGTACTCGGCCTCGGGACCGTCAAAAAACGATTCAGGACGAAAAAACGGTCCCGGTCAAGGGGTCTGGACTTCTGGGGGTCGGTGCTGCGACAGAGATCACGACGTCGGGGATCCAGCACCTCCGCCACTGCCTCGGAGCCGGCCGCCTGGTGCAGCCCGTCGACGTTCATGGTCACGAACTGCATGAGCTCACCGCCCCGAAAGCGCGCCCTCTGGACAGAGGAGCACAAACCGGCAGAAGCATAAACATTGGTACATCCGCGCGGACTGCCTGGATCGGCGCGGGGCCCACCTCCCTGGCGCGCGGGGAGCTCCAGGGGAGACGCCGCAAAGGGGGGCCCAGCGCCGATCCGCGACAACCCTGCGCGCACCTCTCCAAAACATTGATGCCCGTGCTGTGTTCGTTTGCTCCTCCGACTGGAGCTCCGCGAGCGCCCTCAGGCCGTCGTGCGGCTCTGCGGCGGCGATGGGGCCGTAGAAGTCGCGCACGAAGCGGGCCCACACGAGCCCCGGCGTCCAGCGCCACCCCACGGGCGTGCCGCCCCACAGGAGCGCCAGCGTGCCGGTGAGGCCCGACCACGCGCCGTTCGCGCCCCGGAAGGTGCCGATGCCACTGTCGGCCGAGGCGCCGGCGCCGGAGAATACGACGCAACGCTGGGCCCCAGCAATAGCTCGGGCAGCCAAGAGAGCAGCCGACTTGGTTTCGTCCGATGGCATGATAACGGGGCCTCGGGGGGCCACCAGGTATACTCAGAGGAGGACCAGGTGCCGATACCACTATCCCGGCCTCGTCTCCGCTTTTTTTGTTGGCCTGCTAGGAAACCCTCGGCCGCACCGCTGGATTCGCCTAGAACACCTGGTCCGAGCGCACCACACGAGAGGTACGGGGAGTAGCGGTATTGGTATCCTTCTTGGATCGCCGCGGTGGTTGCTAAGGGGATGGGGAGGGCAGAAAGGGACGCTAAAATGGATTACATCTGACCAAACCCAACTTATAAGTGGATTGTAAGTGCCCTATGTGGCTTAGGATGATGAAGTAACTCCGCCAGGTGGACACCGCCCACGTAGCCCAGATCTGTGCGCCCTTGAGCCACATAGGGCACGTGCAACCCACTTCTAAGCTGGGTGAGGCCAGATAGAACCCACCTTACCATCCACTTCTACCCCCCAACTCCTCAGCAACCACCGCAGCGATCCAAGTTGGGTTCCCCCAGGTGCGAGCCAAGCGCTGGATGTGTCTGAGCCAGGGAGGCTGCGGACGCGAGAGCAGGAGCAGGAGCAGGAGGAGCGGCAGGGGCGGGAGCCCAGCCAGGGCCGCAGCCAGGAGCGCCCCTCCCCCCCCCCCCCCCCCGAAGGGCGCTCCGCGTCCCAGGGACGACAAGTGCGGAGACCGCTCCACGCTGCCGCGGGGGGCACGTGGAGCTCCGCTGGGCTCCTCGGGAGGCCTGGTGAAATTGGCGGGTGAAAGACCCAGACACGATCGCTCCGTGACAAAGTCAAGACGGGAGGCTTTTGGCTGTTTTCGGCCCCTGGGGGGCCCTCGCCGGGCCCCAGGAGCGTCAGAAAACGGCTTAGGATGACAAACCGACCCTTGGAAAAGGGTCGGGACTTCGAGGGACGCCGTCCTGAAAAAATTATCCTGGCGAAAGACCCAACCATAAGCAATTGTTGGTAACGCGTTGTGGGTGCCGTTTTCGGTGGGGCTCCATATGGGGCCACGAAGCGCTGCCTTGGATGGGGGAACCGCATGCGGACTGCGCCACCGGGGCGGGCCTTCGGTGGAGCTCCCTATGGGGCTACGAAGCGCTGCCCTGGGTGGGGGAACCGCATGCGAACTGCGCCACTGGGGCCTTCGGTGGAGCTCCCTATGGTGCCACGAAACGCTGCCCTGGGTGGGGGAACCGCATGCGAACACCCCCACTGGGGCCTTCGGTGGAGCTCCCTATGGGGCCACGAAACGCTGCCCTGGGTGGGGGAACCGCATGCGAACACCCCCACTGGGGCCTTCGGTGGAGCTCCCTATGGGGCCACGAAACGCTGCCCTGGGTGGGGGAACCGCATGCGAACACCCCCACTGGGGCCTTCGGTGGAGCTCCCTATGGGGCTACGAAACGCTGCCCTGGGTGGGGGAACCGCATGCGAACACCCCCACTGGGGCCTTCGGTGGAGCTCCCTATGGGGCCACGAAACGCTGCCCTGGGTGGGGGAACCGCATGCGAACACCCCCACTGGGGCCTTCGGTGGAGCTCCCTATGGGGCTACGAAACGCTGCCCTGGGTGGGGGAACCGCATGCGAACACCCCCACTGGGGCCTTCGGTGGAGCTCCCTATGGGGCCACGAAACGCTGCCCTGGGTGGGGGAACCGCATGCGAACACCCCCACTGGGGCCTTCGGTGGAGCTCCCTATGGGGCTACGAAACGCTGCCCTGGGTGGGGGAACCGCATGCGAACACCCCCACTGGGGCCTTCGGTGGAGCTCCCTATGGGGCCACGAAACGCTGCCCTGGGTGGGGGAACCGCATGCGAACACCCCCACTGGGGCCTTCGGTGGAGCTCCCTATGGGGCACGAAACGCTGCCCTGGGTGGGGGAACCGCATGCGAACACCCCCACTGGGGCCTTCGGTGGAGCTCCCTATGGGGCCACGAAACGCTGCCCTGGGTGGGGGAACCGCATGCGAACACCCCCACTGGGGCCTTCGGTGGAGCTCCCTATGGGGCCACGAAACGCTGCCCTGGGTGGGGGAACCGCATGCGAACACCCCCACTGGGGCCTTCGGTGGAGCTCCCTATGGGGCCACGAAACGCTGCCCTGGGTGGGGGAAACGCATGGGTGGACATGCGAACACCCCCACTGGGGCCTTCGGTGGAGCTCCCTATGGGGCCACGAAACCGCTGCCTGGGTGGGGGAAACGCTGCAACCGCATGCGAACACCCCCACTGGGGCCTTCGGTGGAGCTCCCTATGGGGCTACGAAACGCTGCCCTGGGTGGGGGAACCGCATGCGAACACCCCCACTGGGGCCTTCGGTGGAGCTCCCTATGGGGCCACGAAACGCTGCCCTGGGTGGGGGAACCGCATGCGAACACCCCCACTGGGGCCTTCGGTGGAGCTCCCTATGGGGCTACGAAACGCTGCCCTGGGTGGGGGAACCGCATGCGAACACCCCCACTGGGGCCTTCGGTGGAGCTCCCTATGGGGCCACGAAACGCTGCCCTGGGTGGGGGAACCGCATGCGAACACCCCCACTGGGGCCTTCGGTGGAGCTCCCTATGGGGCCACGAAACGCTGCCCTGGGTGGGGGAACCGCATGCGAACACCCCCACTGGGGCCTTCGGTGGAGCTCCCTATGGGGCCACGAAACGCTTGCCCTGGGTGGGGGAACCGCATGCGAACACCCCCACTGGGGCCTTCGGTGGAGCTCCCTATGGGGCCACGAAACGCTGCCCTGGGTGGGGGAACCGCATGCGAACACCCCCACTGGGGCCTTCGGTGGAGCTCCCTATGGGGCCACGAAACGCTGCCCTGGGTGGGGGAACCGCATGCGAACACCCCCACTGGGGCCTTCGGTGGAGCTCCCTATGGGGCCACGAAACGCTGCCCTGGGTGGGGGAACCGCATGCGAACACCCCCACTGGGGCCTTCGGTGGAGCTCCCTATGGGGCTACGAAACGCGTGAGAGGCGTGCCGAGAGCAGAGGCAAGGAGGGGGAGGAGAGGAGGAGAGGAGGAGAGGACGCGGGCACCGTCTCTTCAAAACGAGGACCCAACACCACAGGATGGTTGGGAAAAATCAGAACGTCGCATATCTGGGTAGCGGGCGAAGGGCGGTATATAATAAACTGCTCCGTCACCGGGATCGCCTGAACCAGGGCGACTGGAAAGTTTCTGCAGTGGAGGCCCGACCACAGGAAGCCTTCCACAAGAAACCCAACCCTGAGACCCCCAGGACGTCCATTGATTTTTGGTGGGGGCGTCACGCTTTCCATAGCAAAACCGTCGACACCCAAGAAACCCATGGCACCCTGGAGGCGAGCAAGGCGTTTCTTCGCATAGGCCTCCACTGTACCCTGACGTGCCACCGTAAGGGTATAAACTGTCCAGCCGCACTGGGACAGGCGTCCCCGACGGCGAGAACAAGATGTAGTCCATACCGTTCTTCGCCCGCTCGGTTAAGGTAAGCCGGGGCTACGTGGGTGGGGGGGGGTTGCCTGCGCGCAGCCCGAAGGCTTACCAAGGCGACGGGCGAGGCAGGCGAATCATGCCAGCGCCCCACGGCCCCGTGGGACCCGCACGGCCCCAGGACGCTCGCAACAGAGCAGTCATTGACGGGGGCAGGCTGGAAGGAGAAGGGCGTTGCTTCAGGATGCAGCTGAACGAACTGGTCAGCCCTCCACTTCTGCACACGTGTGGGCTGACGCTTCCTGCTGGCTCCGCTGAGCAACCCCTTGAAGGTCATGTCGGTGGTGGCAGATATGTTGCAGGCACCGCGCCCCCACTCCGACCCCAGACCCCTTCGCAGGGCTCATTTCGATTCTTCCGATTGGGTTCGATTCGATTCGATTTCGATGGATTCCGATTCCGATTCGATTCGACATCGGATTCCGATTTGGGATCAGATTTCTCAATGGAGGCCTACTATCCTGCCGATGCCTACCGATTCGACGTTTCTCGAGTCGGCTGCCGATTTTCGCTGATCCGATTCATTTTGAACGCCGATTCGACTTATCGATTTGATTCTGGGCTCTCTTGCCTTCGCGTGGTGACACAAAATCCCAGCGTGAGACTTTTTGTTATGTTCGGTCTCTGGGGGCTCTCGCCAAGCCTCGGGACCGTCAAACAACGACGCAAGGCGAGAAGCCTGTCCTGGGGAAGCGGTCCAGACCTCCCCGGCCCACGCATCGAAAGAATTGGAGCAGCCGGCAAGAGCACGAGGAGGATGTGGCGGCGGGCGGAGGGAGGCGTGAGGGAGTCGAACGGATGATGACGGTCGCGATGATGGTATGTTACATGTTGTTGGCGATGATGGCAACGCAACGGTCGAGGACGACGGCGATGATGAAGATGAATATGAGGATGGCGATGATGCGGATGTTGACGATGATGATGATGCTGCTGGGAATCATGATAATCCTCATGATGACGCTGGTGATGATGAGGATGATGTGGTTATGCTGAAGAGGATGATGACGATGGAGAGGATGACAATGATGTTGATAACGATGATGATGATAATGATGATGATTATGATGTTCATGCTAAGGATGCTGACAATGCTGATAACGATGATGATGATGATGATGATGATGATGATGGTGGTGGTGGTGATGATGATGATGATTTTTTCCACCGCAGGGCGCACGCCGATAATCCTTAGCCATAGTCCGTGATCTGTGAGGGCCACGCAGCGGCAGGCCAGGCCTGCCAAAGTCGAGGACCGCGCAGGAGGGGGGAGCAGCAGCAGCAGAGGAGCAGCGAAAGAGGAAAGGGAGGACAGGGTACGTGAGGCCAGCGCACTGCGAGATGCCGCTCTTCGGCGACTCGCGGGAGGTACCGTGGTACCTCGCGCGCGGGGAGGGGCGGGGCAGTCCCGCCCGCTACCGATCCCCCCGCACGAGAGTCCTCGGCAGCGGGGGGGCGCACTCGGCGACGGGGGAGGACAGAGTCCATGCCCCACAAGCCGCGGGCGCTTGCGACCCAGGCCACCGCCACCTCGACCCACAACCCAGGCCCGAACACACGCCTAGACAAAATTGAGAGGCGGGCACCCTTCCTCCCAGAGAGGCGCGACGGGCACAGTTGAACAGGTCGTCGACGGGGCGGGCGGCGGGGGCGGCAGGGGGCGGCGGGGCGGGTGCACGCACGCCCCCGCGCGCGCTCCCCCAGCCAGGCGGGGGCCCAACCCCAGCAGCAGCAGCGCCGGCACAGCGGAGCAGCAGCAGCGAAGAGGACCGAGGGGGCGGGCAGGAAGAAGGGCAGGGGAAAGAGGGGAAGGCAGGGGCGGGAGAAAACCGAGGACCCAACAAAGCCCACCCCGCAGGGGAGAAGCAGCGGCAGAGGCAGGGAGGAGAAGGAAGACAGCAAGCGACAGGGAAGGCAGAGGGAACACAGAGAGGAGCACAAGAACAAACGCGCGAGAGATGGAATGGGGCGGTCACACTCAGACGACATCACTTCACGCGGCAGCCCGCACCATACGCCGTGCCCTGAACTGGCGGGCGACACCAGTATACCGACGTGCTAGAAGGCGCAAT